ACTCACTGCAGTTGGATTTGCTTGATAATAAATATGATGAATAGCTTGGTTGTGGATTGGTGTGAGATGAGCCTTGCGTCCTTGTCCCTGCAGAAAGGCCACACTGCGAGGGACCAACAAAGCTCGTTGTTGAACTTGTTCCAAAAACTGGGTTAGATGCAGCGCAGCGCACATCATGCACCAGGTGTTCTCATAAAAACAAGGCTACACCCCGCGGTTGACCCCTAACATGAGTGAGAAGGTGCATGCACACGCACACGCGCGCGCACACGTACTGAAGCGGAGCAGGTGCGCAGGATGTAGGACTTGGTCACTCAGTCGTGTCATGGAACCTCATATTTGTTTGATAATTATAATAAGTTTGACTATTTTGTTGTATTGAATATATATTTTGCCCCATGGTGTGTTATTATTGCTTCACTCATTCATCCAAATTCACAAATAACAAATAGTGGTTTCTTTCGCTGCTGGTTTGATAACCGATGATTCGCGCTACAGTGTGGCTCGTAAAAAGCCTGGAGCGCAGCTTAAGTATAAGTTGTAGCTGTATTTCAGTGTCTGGAGACGGTCACGAACCATTAGCCTGCATGTAAACATTTAAAGTTTATCTATAGATTATGTTCTTTTTGATAGGCTACCATTCCTATATCTATCATAAACCAGTACTCCGTTCTAGTAATTTTTCATTATTATTTTTAGCTTTTTGACGTGTAGTCTATTTCCACACATTGTCTTTTTAATTACCAATTAAAAAAACTAAAGTCAACTTATTTAAGGAATTGGTAAGGCCTTCCCTTTCTGGTATTTTGAGTTCGAATATTGCCATGTTTAAAAAATCTATAGCCGGTAATTGTGATGGTAATGAGTTGAATTTCATAATAACGCATTGTAATGTTAATGGTGGTATGCTGAATATTAAGCAGCACTGCGGCCTATACCTTGGTCATCCACTCGTGAGTCAGTCAAAAGAAAAAAGGGGAATCACTGTCACGCATAAGAGCGAAACGAAGAACGACGTTCAATTTACCATTCGTTAAAAAATACAGTTTAGTCGTGGACATAGAAACATTTGAAAGGCTATAATGTAATATACTTTGTATGCCTTCACGCAACATGTTTATAACAAAAGACCAAACAAGCAACATCAACAAACAAAAACAAATATAATCATAATTATCATTGTATTTATCATTATGATTATAATACAATAACATGTAAAAATGAACCCGATATAAATACAGGCATTGAATTTAAGCCATTTCCAAACAAGAACATATCAGAGATCTGAGGAGTATTTGCTGAAGGAAATGTGCTTCATCTGTATTCCAATGTGCAACTTTCAGCATTCAAGTCAGAAGTCATTTCTGGCTTCTATTTTTTAGCGAGGGGGAACCAGGGAAGAAAACCGCTGGCGTTGAGTAGTGATTTTCTCCTTTGCTTTATTTTTGAGGCGTCAGGCCGTGACGAGGCGCGCGAGGGCAGAGATAGAGTCGTGGACAGAGGAGGAAAGGGGGACAGCAGACTCTGAGAGACACAGGCACTAATAGACCTTATTTTCTGGATGGGGAAGCGCAAATACATTTTGCGTTATCTCCCTCCAGGAAACATTGAATCAATCAAATATTTAGGGTGGAAGCAGGGCTCTTTAGTCTGGTCCTATAAGCTAAATAAAAGTAAACACAAGTGGGATGCATAATGACCTATAGTCGACATATTCTTGTTACCCTCATGATTATGAATTATTAATTTAAATTAGCACTATGTTTTTGGTTAAACATACAACCTGCTAATTGATTAGATGGATGTAGTGTTTTAGGCCTATAAACTTTACACTTTCAAAGTTCTGAAAATGTACCAATATCCATCCACATTTACAGTCTAAATACGATCCAATTTTGTGTGAAGGCAATGATAAACAAATACCAAAGTGTTGGTTTTATTATCGGTATTTGGGCTCAGGAAATAAAATTCAAACACATAGGGCTAATCCCAAGAATTTGAGAGTCTCAACAGCTAATGCTAACAGCAATACACAGATAAGTGAATAAATAGTTATCGGAAAAGCCTTTTTGTAGGCTACAGTCATTCCTTTCCATCGCCTTACAAAGCATGGCACATTCCATGCCTTGGCCTAGATAGGTAAGTGTGAAAGGACCCATTTCATTTACTCTTATCTGAGGAGAAGGCACAGAGTGAAAAAGGGAAGAATGGAGAGAATTCTGTGGAGATACATGTAGTTGGCTGCTATAAACCTGCAGTCAAAAGTGTCAGGCATAATGATCATAATAAGATGCATGGAGAAATCAGGTCTTTGTTAAATTCTTCTGAGGGTTCTGAGAGAGTACAAGACTTGAATCAGGCCAGGTCACCAGAATGTATGGGTGTGCACTTTTGGACATCTGACAAAAATAAAGAAAAGCTCAATACAGGAGACTCCAGCACGGAGCTTTTTCACCATTTTAAACTTTTTATTTAACAGGGCACTCCCCTTGAGACGGGTCTCTTTCAGGCACAGCACAAACTTGTTTTTATTGTTTGATGCTTTTATATTTATTTTCAAAACGAGTCAGAACTTCTTGCTCACGTAACATCATAACAGTGATGTTTGAATAGGGTTGTTTAGGATTCCTCCAACTAATTTCCCAAAGGGAGCAAATACAAGAATAGACTTGCTATGAGTAAGACCTGGCTTTTCTCACAGCATGAAATAATAAACAGGCAGTGAGATGAATCTCTGCCAACAAAATAATGATGACATTATGTTTCACTATAGCTTTTAAATGATTGTGTAACTAACATAAAGCCATGATTGTTGTCAATACAATCAATAGAAATGTATGACATCATGCCACACAGCAGTAAAAAGTAACAAGTTTTCATCGATTTACAATCGATATCACAGGATACTATTAAACACTATAAAACCGAGGGATCTGTTTATAGTCCAACCCCTAAACCATCAAAAACATTTTGTCCAGATACTGACATTTCAAATAAAAATTGTTCCTTGTGGACTATTGTTTCTCAGGTTCCTCCAAACTGACCTTAATTTCACAATTTTAGCAATTATCACAAGGTCGATATATTATACAGCCAATATTTATCTAAGTGATTCGATTGCCCAGCATTTGTCTGGAGAGCAGTGTTCAAAATATTACACTTCTGATTAGATTATTTTAATCCAGGTCAATTTTTCTTGCTGTATTTGCGCATTTCTTATTCATCTGAAGCGTTTCTGTCTTGTGTTGCATCATTCCCTCCATAATGATCTGTCTTGTTTCTTTCAAATTGGTCATAAGTGTCCCTTGCCCTGCTAATATGCAGGACAGAAGTTCAGTGTTTGTTGTAGTTGGCATTTGCTGAAACAGAAACAGCCTGGACTGTGTCTCCCTTTTGTACAAATGATTGCTTTTTAAATCATTGTCTGGAAACATTACAATCTGCATAATTAAGCTTTTCTATCTAAAAATACATTTGGAGAGATTCCCTTTTAAAATACTATATTTACTTTGGTGGAAGGACAAGCTTTTAAAACCACATTTACTGCAGCCTCCATAATCCAAATTGAACAAATAGTTTGCGGTTCCTGTTTCAATGTGAATATAACATGGACTTGATTATGAGAAGACCTTTGTTCTTGGGTTCACATACCAAACCAAACCTTATATCAGTGAAGAATAATTTCCAAAATACATATCAATTAAAAAAAACCTAAAACAGTGGCTTTTTTTGGCTTGTGATGGAGAAATGAGTTGGACAGGTTTGGCGACCAGCTTTGTGTTTTAGGGGGTATCCCTGCTGGGCTAATGTGTTTAAAATCTATTACCCCCACAGCAAGGATTAGTGTGCATGTGTGCTTCCCCCTAAAGACGTAATCACCATGGTAATACAAGAAGCCATGTGCTGGATTATGGGAAGGGGAGATGCTGGATTTGCTGTGCCTTTGGTCACATATATACAGTATGCGTCTTACAGAAAGGCACGGTACTATTCACAGAAATAGTGTGCAGTGATTTCTAATAAATACCTTTCATGTCTTATTAGAACTTTTTTTCCTTGAAGTTTGCAGCAGGAAAATTATAACTTTCATTGAGTTTGAAAATGTGGTTTATTGATATTCCTATACCTCCAATGTCATGATCAAAGAAAGGAACAATTGCTAATCGCCTTTTAGATAATCTATCTTTTACCATCGTAGATTCTCCAAAACATTTGTAAATTAATGTGAACATATACAAAGTGTGCATAATGTATGTTTTCTATTCACTGCAGCTGTTAGCAGTCTGTCGTATAACAGCAGTCTTGGCATTGCCCTCCCTCAGGGGGAATATTAGCTGTATCTTTCAGTAAAAGGGGCCAGGGCCAGACCTTGGTCAATAATTAATTGAAATCCCTTCATTTACTTGCAGTGTTAGCTTAGCCTGCCTGCGGAGAAAATGGGCAAAGATTGCACTTTGGAAGAGTTTCGACTGTTGCCATTATGCTGAACTAGATAAATAAGTGGCAGAAAGGAAATCACTGGTGTTTGAGTTAAACTGACTCCAGCCATGGGCACAGGACCCAACCAAGTGGCTCAACTAACTTTGCATATTATATTCTCAGTAACATTGGGTTTGCATGTTTGTTTATTCGCTTCGTGAGCTGTGAATGTCAAAATATAAAGCAGCTCTACATCAATGTCTAATTTTGGAATTTTGGGGGCATCAGGTATAAATCTGGGCAGTTTTGTTACATCATATAGCAGGGATGTTCAACCCATTCCTAAAAAGGCTCTGTAGATTCAGGTTTTCAATCCAACCAAGCAGAAGTGCACCAGACTTCTCTCATTTCATCAACTCCAGAGTCCAGTCTTGACCTGAAGACTGAGTGGCCTGCCCTGTAGAATGAATAAATGGTCACATTGCTTTTTAAAAAATCTGACGCATGTATATCTGTGTGAAACTCGTGCTGTTTGCATCAGTAGTGGAATGATTCAATGTTTTGCTCAATATGTCTCTTAGGACATGGAGGTGTGAACCAGCTCGGTGGTGTGTTTGTGAACGGACGGCCTCTTCCAGACGTAGTGCGGCAGCGAATAGTGGAACTCGCTCATCAAGGAGTCCGGCCCTGCGACATCTCTCGACAACTTCGAGTCAGTCATGGTTGTGTCAGCAAGATACTCGGCAGGTAAATACATTTCAAGCCATTGCCTTAAAACTCTTGATGATTATAGTGTCTGTAATGTCAACAAGTCTGGTGCAAACATGTGTAATTCATCTGCAAATGGCTACTGCTGTTGCCACTAACACTTCATGAATGTATGTACGGTCATGGGACAATTTACCCTAATCTGAACACGTGTGTAATAATTCAAGACATGTCATTCTCATCTTGACCTCTCCTCCCATTTCCCACTTCCATGTCTGTCTACGTCTGTCTTTTCAAAACTAAATCCAAGACTAAAACCCATGCTCGTTCCGTCCCCTGGCGAAAAGAATGGCTCACAAAGGGGGAACAGATTCATCACTTTTTTGGAAATTTGCATGAAAATGAAAAAGTGGCACCATATTTCTGCACCCCTCCCTGAAATGAAGGGGACAAGGTAAATGGCAAATGGTTGTAAAGGAAAAAAATGACAAAAATAAAACAATCCGAATGTTCAGGGGGGGAAAAAAAGTGCTAGACAGAAAGACCATTTTGTGGGGACAGAAAAAGGGGGAAGGATTAGCCGGTAGCGACCCGTAGCTATATCAAAAAATGTGTTGCTCATTGTTCTCCCTTTGGTCTGACTCTCTTTGCCTCAGTATCTTTCTCTCTCCCCTGTCCTGGACGTTCAACTCACTGAAGCGTAACTTTGAGGAGGAGGGGGAGAGTTAGCGGAGATGGTGTTGGTGGGATGCGTTTGTTTTTATCCTCTCCTGTGTCTCTGTGGTGCCAACACACACGAAAAAACACCAACTTGAATTCTCAATGTGTGCTATCAATAACCACTTTATTCACTGATGATTCGCTCGTGAATGATTTAAATCCATTTTGGGTAGTATTTCTCCCGTGCCCTGCTTGAAGGGGAAAATAATCAAACGCTTAAAACGTGTCGAATAGAAACATGGGAAGACAAGGAAAAAAAAAATGTGGCAATGCTTTTTACAGAACACACATCTAGAGGGAAGGGATTACACTAGCATACAGTGCAGGGGAGAGAATGAGACGGGAAAACAGGGAGAGCAGCAGGTTTAAGACTGACTGACAGCTTGCATCCGCACTCCGCATCCCCCCTTTTTTTTCAAGCTCTGTAGCACATTTGCTGTCCCCCTGCCCCCTGTGCCCCCTGCACATGCAAATTCATGAAATAGCCATGGTGGACATTTTGACAATCCGCACAGAGATCAGTGGTCCTCTTCTCCGCTTCAATCTAGAGCAAAATAAATTACATGATGGACGATATGTCAGTGAAGTGCTTATATGTATTTATGTTGGCTTCGCTCAGGCCGATTGTAAAAATGAGACTAGTCATGAAGAATAATGTAAAGTGAGAGATTATTTCAATTTTTTTGGTGTAGGCCTATTGAAAGTTTTTAAATATGGCTGATACGTTCCAGCGTTCTCCCAGTTTTTGGGGCTCGTAAAGCCAATTCACACGCATAATTTTTAATGGCGAGCTCTTTTTTGTTCTGTATTTACGCCAGTGGTTTTCAAACACACATTGCCACCGAAGAATCATCCAAGTACCATTTATATTTCTAACTATTTATCTATCTATGTATCTATCCATCTATCCATCTTTTCTCAAACGTATTCTGTACATTTCAGATACAACAACCATCAGAGTCTAAACCAGGTCTAAAACAGGACTTTAAGAGATCCAATTTCAGTCTGAATCAGGTCTAAAATAGGTCTGAGCTATTATAGATGTATGGAATGATGTTAACAAAAACATCTCCCAATCAAGGAAAAATATATACTTGAAGAAAGTCAGATCTCACCAGAAGCACACACGTCGCACAGTTTGAGAAACACCGTTATGAATAAACTGTGTGTTCGTAGCACCGCTTTTACCACATGCGTTTCTTTCTGCAGGTACTACGAGACAGGCAGCATCCGCCCTGGTGTTATCGGGGGCTCAAAACCAAAGGTTGCTACACCCAAAGTGGTTGACAAAATAGCCGATTACAAACGCCAAAATCCCACCATGTTTGCCTGGGAGATCCGGGACAGGCTGCTTGCCGAGAGAGTGTGTGACAACGACAGCGTCCCCAGCGTCAGCTCCATCAACAGGTGAAGTCTAACCACATGTAGCAACAGGTAGTCAGGGTGGAGGTGGGATATGCTGTTTCATATGCGTGTGGAATAGTGACCAGCTAAGGGACCTCCATATGTATGAAGTGGCTGCAGCTCAGTGGTTCAACAGGGTAGTACAATGACAAGCCTTCCCCCCTGAGCACAGAGCCAGGAAGAAGGGATGGTGTAATAAGAGAGAGAGAGAGAGAAGGGGGTGTCGAAATAGGTGAACAAAAGGGACGTAAGGTGTGCTGGTGCAAGGAAGGGAATAAGCATCATATGAAAGGGCCAGGCATTGGAGAAAAAAAAAAAAAACAGGTCCGGAGTAGCAGAGGGGAGCAGGGGAGGAGAGGAAAAGAAAGGATGGAGAAAGGAGGAATAGGGTTTGCATGAGCAGCCAAGCAGGAAGTGTGAGGCCCCTCTGCCATGTCAGCCCGCCTCAGCCACTTCACACACACAAAAACACACATACACAGGCTGGCACATATACAGCGCTGTTCCCACAACGGTCATGTTCCTATGTCACCCAGAGCCTCACTAATATCTGCTCTCCTCTCTCCACCAGGATCATTCGGACTAAGGTTCAGCAGCCGGGCCAAACAGGCTCAGTGGTGGCTCACAACTTAGGTAAGTCTTGGCTGCACGGATATTCAGTCCAGTGAAAGTAATGCTTGAACTGTCAAAATAGCATAGATCAGCATGGCTTGACAAATTCACAGTATACACACAACATAAGATAGGATTCAATTTGTATGTTTCTGCAGTCTACCTTTCTTGTCCGAACAATAATTACAGGTGAAACTTGGAAAATTAGAATATCATTCGAGAGTCCTTTTACTTCTGTAATTGAATCTAAAATGTGAAAATGATTTATGACAGACTCATTACACGCAAAGTTAGATATATCACGCCTTTATTTGTTATTCTTATAATTGGCTCACAACCACAAAGAACACATCAAACAACAAATTAGAATGTTGTGGACTGTAAGCCATAGTCATCAAAATCAGAGCAAAGACTTGGCATTTGTCACTTTGGGTGTAATGAGTCTATTGGATTCACATTTTAAGTTGAATTACTGAAATAATTGGCTTCAGAGTCCTCTGTACACAACAAAAAAAGACACGAACGGCATCTCTACAACAACATTTAATGCATCCAACATGCATCCAACATTTCTATGTAAATCTCAGAAGCACGTATTTGCATTGTATTGTGGAGGTCCTCTGTCCCAATATTGACATGTTTCCCCTATGCATATACTCACTATTCATTTTGTGAGTTTGCTTAAAATTACTCCACTGTTTTTCTGCGATTGATTTTTTGCCCGTTAACGCTGCATATGTAAATGCCAGTGCTGTGTGACATCATGTCAAGAATCCGGTCTCTTTATCATTATGCTAATTTACACGCACAACTAAAGATATCAGATTGTGTTGGATTTAAGTCTCCCAAAGCCATATATCTATTACCGTATTTCATACTATAGTCATGCACATACATTACATAGCACAGTCAATCTCCCTCTCCGCCCCAAAGTGGATTCACGGTCTCTCGTATCTTCATAATCATGCATTGTCTATTAATCTAAATTAATTTCACACGCAGCGCTCCTTGCCTCTTTCGCGCACACACCTAGCTGCACCTAGGCACACATCAACACACTGAGATTACACAGATAAATGGTCCCACTCCCGGGCGGAAAATTGAACATTTGGATTTGCCGAATAAAAGCGGTGCGTTCTAGATTAAAAAAAAAGAAAGAGAAAGGAAAATCAGATAATTGAAGTGCTAAATCAAGTGATGGAGAAAAAGAAGGGATATGCATTCATTATAGTCTCCTTGTTGTTAGCACGAGTGGCTAGAAGGGACCTAGATCCAGCAAGTTTCCAGTCTATTTTTATTTAGAACTTGTTTGTGTGTGTGTGTGTGTGTGTGTGTGTGTGTGTTTGGGGCCTGCTGGGAGTGCGGATTAGGATGTCTGTCTCTGTGCACCTTTCGTGTCCCTCCTGGGATACCATACTGTCACTCAGCCCCACCGTCCGCTTACAGGGTTACAGATAAGAGCCCCGAAAGTGACTGACTCCATGTTGTGTGCCGGTGACGCGCTGACGAGTGCCCACGGACCGACTTGTCTGCTTCAGGGGGAAGATTAGAACAATAAAGCACACACATTCTTGCCTTGCTTTTGGCCTTCTTTAAGGTTCATTGTTGTAAGTACAAGAAGATTAAACTCCAACTAAATCATAGATCAAAGAACCGGCCGCTAGTTTATCTGTCGTCCTGCCGTGCCTGGTGCCCTGCTCTGCCCTGGTCCTTCTGCTGAATGACTTCCCTCACCTCAGCCTTAACAGGGTACAACAAAGGGTTCTCTTGGCAGGGCTTATGGCCGCCATAGAGATGGTTGCTAGACGGTGGAAGCCCCTCACTCGCTGTCTCATGGACAATGGATTTTGACATTGACTTTTTGGATCTTTCCACTGCAAGAGCTGGAGAGTGCCATTAATATGTCGAACAGTATAAACCAGCTCAACATTTTTAATTTGTTTGAGTCATGCAAATGTTCATGTTTGCAGCTGTTTCTGTCTGGATGTGTGTGTGTGTGTGTTTGTGTATGTTGTTATGTTAAAAAAAAAAACAGAGAAGAAAAGAAAAGATCTGAACTCTATAATCAGTGATGACAAACACCTTATCAACACCTGCTGATTAAAACTGTTCTATAAACAAACGGATGAAAAAAAACTACTTGGGTTTCAGAATGTAATTGCTGGTATGATTTCCAAGCTTGTTAATTTGAATGACTGTTAACTACGAATTTTCAGAATATATCCCGTAATTTTGCACACAATACCATAGAGATCTGAAATCTTAAGCCTTGTAGGATTTAGGACAAAAGTCGTTAACACTTACTTTTACCAAAGAGAGAAGAAACTTTCTGTCTTTCTCTGTGCAGCAGAAATGATCATTACCACAGAACCCCTATGTTTCCATGCTTTCAGCTGTTTTGCTCGTCTTCATCATTCGTCTTCATCTTCTCTCGTGTAGGAACTTCTGTAGCTGCGACCCAGGTTTCCGCGGTGACCAGCGACTCAGCGGGCTCCTCCTACTCCATCAGTGGGATTCTGGGCATCAGCTCGGCGACTGACGTGGGCAAGAGAAAGCGAGATGAAGGTAAGACAGCAAACCAGATTCTGAATGTGTCTGATTATTCTGCAGCCATTTGATAAGGACCACTCATATCAGATTCATTCAGATCTCATTCAACAGTGTTGGTTACTACAATGGAACACGAGATTCGTTTCTTTCATGGTTTCTATTCATTGTACTGGGTATTTGGAAGAGATGTCTGGAAAGCTTAAAGGTGCATTGCATAACTTTTTAGATGGGGTCCAGTCTCTGATTTATGTCACTATACCTTAGTAGGGCATAAAGCATGTACATCATTCAATTGCAGAAGTTTTAACTGACAATCCACAATGACTTGACTCAGAGGTCATGTGGACGGAAAATGAATGTCATACTGTAGAGCATTACACAAGTGAAGCCTATGATGTGCTTGGTCGAGACTTGAACATCTGATCATTCAGTTTTCTGCAATAAAAATAAATAAGTTTTATCAAATTAAATGGCACTTCACGTATTTCTCAAATTAACCTTATGCACATGGTTCATTAAATCTTTATGAATTCAGTGTCAGGGCACCTAATGCACAAAAACATTGACCTTATGATGAAAATATGCAGAGATACGTTTTCAGCTGCAGTCCCTGGACACTATCCTTAATGATAACATGAAGAACCTAAAACTTGCAAGTTTCTGTTTCCACTGTATATACGTCAAGAGAACCATACAACATCTCCAAGTTTGAGGGTCCATTTCAGAATCAATGCCAGTTCTAAACCTTGCAGTATGGAACGTTCTAAAGCAAACATCTCTATCCCACACCCTCTTTTTGTTTACTAACATCCGGACGGGAAGCCAGTTTATGCATGCACTATTGATCATATATGCTGTCATAGTGGATCAATGCAGCCCTGCAGGTAATAGAGGAAAGCATGCTGATATGCATGTGTATGTGGCTGCGTCAGTGGCATTAAAAAGCCATCACACCGATATTCTCCTACCGTAAATGAGACAGGACCAGATGTCGGAGCAAGAGGGGGGGTGACGCAGCGCCACTGGGGGCTATTGCACACACTCAGGAACACACACAAAGGCACCTCTCTCTCCATGAGAAATGTAGTAATACTCGAGCTGAAAGAAGAGACCAGGACGGGAGCCTCAGCTGAAGGTTGGGCAGATAGAATCTTTTCATTTTATTTTTTCATTTTTATATTTAATTTTTTATTTATTTATTTATTGAGCTGGGACAATGCACATTTATCAACATTGATGCCTTTAACTGCTAAATTTCAGTCGTTGTCCCAAGGCAGGTTCCAAGGCAACATAGACACTTGCATATTATGGACGAACAACCAATTACACAGCAGAGGATCCCAATTCTACACATCAAGTGATGGACTAGTGAACTTGTACAACTAATAATACATAAAAAATAGGTATCATAATAAATAAATTGTCAACAGCCTCTCTGCTCTACATAATGCTTTTGTGGCATTATAAAACACATCCTGGACTTTATAATGAATAAATATATACAAGCTGCTGACACGGCACTTGCAACATTAGCCTGTGCTCTGCCAAAGATTAAACCACACATAATATTAGTCCAGTTTAGCACAGTCCCCTCTTTCCATGTTTTTGCATTGCTAATCCCTATTTCATTTTTGGACACTTGACATTTGGTCCAAGTAAGTTTCAGAGATTACAAGCCACCTTCTATAGGCGACTGGGACTTTGCGGTTCTCAAAGCCGAGTAGCGTTTTCATATGTAGTTGCATAAACTATTATCCCTACAGCATATACTTAGACCGTGTTGTCCAAGCTGCAGTTCAAGAATAAGTAATTAGCCGCATCATTGTTTGTCTTTGTTCAGTACATGTGCGGTCTGTTAGTCATCTCACTAACGCTGCCTTTTGTGTTTCAAGATAACTATCCAAACCTCTGTTGCACTTTGCACTGCCCAGCTGAAGCATCTTGTTGGCCCCTGTTTTCTCTTCTCCATGTGTGTGTGTGTGTTTGTGTGTGTGTAGTTTTCTGTGGCAGAGGTCTGCACGCCCGGCTCGGTGGTCTAATTAACAGCATTGCTAATCACAGCTTCCATTAGAGCAGCCCCCACTGGATAATGACACACACACAGCGTGGGGCAACAGGGAGAACAGCATGCACCAACACGGACAGACACAGACATACATTACACACATTCACACAATCACACAATCACATGCTTCAGTGTGACAACATGCGGACGCACAAAGACCAGACAAGTGCGAGGTGCATGCCAGTGAGGTGTGTCTGTGGGCAGTGCCAAGCAACAATATACTGCAGGTTATTCTTTAATATAAACAGTATAACAGATTTTATACCAAAGGGAACTATTGATCATACCACAAAGCAGTATTATGATCATAGGGCAAGTATAAACTAGAACTGATAAAAACTTTCATAATATTGTTCAAAAGTCCAATTTCTTTTGTAATTCAACTTATAATGTGATTGTATGACAGAATCATTATATGCAAAGTGAGATTTAATTTGTGATATTTTTGATAATTATGGCTCACAAATTAAACATCTCAGGAAAAAGTAATATTTTGAATATAGACTGTTAATTACCATAATTATTACTAATGAGCCTTGGCATATGTTACTTGTAATGAGTCTATATCATATTTTGGTTTCACATTTTAAGTTGTTTTTAGTTTGACCTGTAATATGCACCATTTTGTTCTGACACTCACAACAGACATTTGTCATGTTGTTATGTGTCACAGGAATACAATGGACTCCCATAAAAATTGTGAATGAATCCCAAAAAGTTGATATTTCTCAATTTCTCGGTTCAGTCCTCCCGCTGAATTCAAAGTAAAGCTCTGTTATTAAATCATAAAACACTCTTCATTCATAAATCCATAGTTCCACAAATTCCTCAAAGTATTAGTGTTTTATCAAAATCATCATAAACCTGTTTGTCGTTGCTATAGTTACAGTATTGTAATATGGTTATGCACATTTAAAAACAAAATGCTTTTCTTCACACATTACATTAGAATTGCATGAAAAAGGACATACTCTCTGTTGTAGTTGAAAACAAACTACGGTGACACCAAAAGCTGTATTAACGTTTCTTTAACATCTTGATCATATCTCCCTTTTTCATTTCCAAGACAATGGCTTGCACGTTGGAAAAAAAAAAAGCTTTGAATTTTGCTGTAACTGATAAAATGGCAGCTGCTGAAGAGATGGGAACACAGGAAGGCGTCTCCGTGGCATATGTGTGTGTGTATATTCAGAATTGTACGGGGGTAAAGCCCTGTGGAGACCTTTGACCACAGCCAAAGTGAAGGGAAGTGAGGGGGTGACCGGGTTTGAATCACCATGAATTGGATTGAATGGGAGAACTTGACTTGCGGGGCCAGGAGGGGACTTTTGTGTCTTAACCTATTATGTGAACTCTGGAGAATAGATATATTTATATGTGTGTGTGTGTGTGTGCGTGCGCGCAGCCTCGTCAGTGTCAGGACAGGTGGCTGCTTAGTCACTGCATCAGTTCGGACTCACTATTATTTTAAACCTGCATTTGAGTCAGAATTCACATGACGGGTAATAGTATCGGTTACATTTATACTCACAAAGCTGACCCTTCACCCGCTTGTGCAGCCACTGTGACTGTGTGAGATAAAAGCTCTCTGTAGGTATAGAACGTGAAGAAGAGAGGAACATGGGGGGCTCTGTCCTTCACCGCTGCTTCTTCTGTTTAGCCCCCTGTGCTCAAAGGAGGAAAAACAACTTTGATCATTGAATCCATCCGGGACAGAGTCACTGGGGCAGCTCTGTGTGGGGTCAGTGTACATGAGGGACCTTACACAGTCAAGTGCGAAAAGGAAGCAGCTTCGGGCGCGTTCACACTTGTTGGTCTGCTTCACTTCAAGTCAGACCTGGGCAAACATACAATTCACATTTCTATGCTGCCCCCACACCCTTCCTAGTAATACTTTGTCAAAAACATGAATCTGTAAATCAGTCTACGATACTTAGGCTTCTTCCCCCTTCATCCAGTTTTCCAGTTTTGGTTAAATCCAAGCAAAATCAAAAACAATATCAAAATCCATTATCAATAAACAAAATAATGTTTGTGTATCAAATACATAACTATAAATGTACAATATCATTATAAGTGGCGCTCACAAAAAATAGCAAATAACTAATCCGAACAGGTCCGGCCCTCAACAATAAGGCTGCGGTCACATGCGCAAGACGATATCCCAATTTGGCCAGCAGGAGAAAATAATTGCCCACCCTGCATTAATTGAATCCAAAATGCTTTTTTGTGGATGTACAGCCACTAAACAATTGAACTTGTTATCTCATAAATCAGATATGTGAAACATCCTTTTTCTTGTGGAAATGAGTAAACTGTAAAATAAGATATTTGTGGATAAATCAAAATGCTGTGATATCTGTGTCTAATGAATATCTCTTATTTAAAACCAGCTGATTTCAAGTGTGAGTATCAGGGTCTGATTTGAATTGTACCTCACCACGGTTTAGGTGTTGACCATATTTCATTAAAAAAATTTCTCCTTGAAAACCTAGCACAAACATAACCATATTTAATTATGTTAAATGTATTAAGTGAAATTATGTATTAAAAACTTGCAAAACACAACTTAGATTTACCCTTAACTTCTTTTATAGTGTTGCACAAGTTGCGCCAAATGCGTTTTCAGACCTCCCAGTACAAGTCCATGCACTTAATTCTTTCAGAACATTATGATAAGTGAATTCTCCCAAAGGGTCACAACTCAAGGTAACAGTCAAATCTCCTCATCGCTAAATAAATCAAAAGTACTGAAAGTGAAAAATGAAAATCAATGTTATTATCATGGGTATTTCCATGTTAAATCCTGCTGTCCTTGAATTGCTAGTGGGATACCTGCATATAGTAATGAGGGAGCGGTATCAAAGCAACAGGAATCGAAAGTAAGTTAAGGAGATAGACAGAGAATCCGGAAGAGAGTGGTAAAAGGCAGAGAGCCCAGAACAATAAGGCGTCATTGTTTGTTTTGTTCTGCTCTGTAAAAGAGGCAAGGCGGGTGCTTCCCTTCTGAGACCGGCTCGCGGAGATAGAGGCTGCCGTGTGAATGGGATTTAACCCGTCACGCCAATGACTTCCTTTACCCCAACACAATGAGACCGGCCGGATATCAAGCGTCTCCACAACATGCTCCAACATACACCCAATTGGAAAGCCGTAATTTTAATATGTTAATGTGGCTGAGGTGAGATTCCAGTGTCCGTCCATGTCGGCAGGCTGGTCACTATCTCAGGTGGTGTTTATGTGCGAGGCAGAGTGACAGCAGAAAGCAATAAGCTGGCTGAAATGGTGCCATCAGACCTACATGATTGATCAATTGAATTCCATGATAGGGACTGGCCAGTGGGATTAAATGGGTCGCAGTGGGTTACCAAGCTAAAGCATCATGTGGGCTTTATCTCCACCCTGATTGGTCTGTCACCCGGGACCTGCTCCATACACCGACGGTGCTCCGAAGGTGTTTCGTGAGAAGACGAGAGATTATGATCAAAAAGAGTGTTTGTGAGAGTGGGGGAAAGAGGTTTTGTGGACTCACTGAGGAGGGATGGGGAGTTTTGTTGAGTTGCTCACTGCACAGATACAGTTGCGATATCTACGGTTCTTCAATGCCTCTGCTCCAAAGATCTTACGAGGTCTGGTCCAATGACGCATCAACACTATGTAATGTTAGGAGAGAAGATCAAATTCATGTTCAGTTTGTGGCTAATCAGTCAGCTACGTGCTATATTCTTTTCCTGCTTATTTTGACATTTGAGTTTATCATCAAGCACTGATCCTGCAAATATACATGTCAATATGGATTCTCATCGTTTCCAAATCAGCATAAACAGACACTGCCTTTTACTGAATGCCACTCTGAATTATGCAACACTGACAAACTGAATTTTGACCTTTCTCTTAATTTAATTTTTGTTTTTTCATTTGTCTTCTTCCACACTTTCTGAAACCTTTCTCCCCGTACACGGTTGCATTCTATCCAGTTCTATTAGAATGCATATTGTGTCTCTGTTGGGTGGTTACTTGAACCATGTTTTGAATTAGCATAATAATAATACCAAAGCATCTTTTTGAACACACAGAATATACTTTTTAAACAAAATGTTTGAATTGTGCAAACTGACCATAAACTACAGAAAGCTATTTTTCAAAGCCATTCCACATTGCAATCTGTCTTTTTGCTTCATCACATTGGACTTGTCTGAGCTACAGATGACTCAGAAGCAGAATAGTAATAGACTTTATATTCCCCCAACCCCCACCCTACCTGCCTGTCATATCACTCTCCGCAGCAGCAAGCGCTCCTCCACACCAAACCCAAACACACAGTGACCCCAGGACTAAAATGGACTCTCGGCAGCGCCCAATGAATTGAGCCTATAGCAGGGGATTTTCTCCCTCATCCCCCCTTTTCTCTTTATCTTTTTTTCTAATCATGTGTGGGGCACGACTCTTCAGGGTTCTTGTAATTGTCTCGTTCAGTCCCTCAGCTTTGCAATAACTGCAGGATACAGGAGCTCACAGACAATATGGAGAGCCAAGAAATATATATTTGTGTGTCTGGGAGTGTGTGGTTC